CACCTAACAGAGTCCTAAGAAACAGTAAACATTCAACATAGTTGTAGACTAATTTAGTAACACTCAGGCCCAACCAAAAAGGAAAGGAATCTCTCAGCAAGGTCACACAATAAGATTAGAGTTAGGACATTACAGTATGCCCAGTACTGTTCTCAGCACTCTGATAGTTTGTAAAGCCCTCACAGCCATGTCCCTCCTTTAAGGAGCTAACTAGCAAAATGGGGAATCAAGATAAACCACCGTGAAGGTCATACTCACAGATGTAAGCACATAATAGAGTTCAGCAGTAAAGGACCCTGAGTGTGGATTGGAGTCAGCTGCAAGACTAACCAGTGAATAGGCAGCCAGGCTGAAATCACGTCACACCTTTACGACAGGGAAAAGGACGGAATCCAAGGTCTCTTCTGTTTTGTCTACCACCTCATCCACTGTGTCAGCTAATTTTGAAGGAAGATCCTCCATCAGCAAGCAGGGCCTCTGAGACATCAGCTGTAGGGACAACCATTACCTCTGACAGGTCTGTGACTCTGGCACCGACAGTTTAGGCTCCGACTCAAGGGCAGATTGTTCAGGCTCAGCTCTGATGCTGAAAATAAGTCCTACAAAAAGGATGAGCAGCCCTAGCAGGATTGGCTCAGGGGATAGAGCATCAGCCTGCAAATGAAGGGGTCTCAGGTTTGATTCCAGCCAAGGGCACAAGTCTGGGTTGTGGGCTTGATCTCCCCACCCCAGTAGTTGGCATGCAGGAGGCAGCCAATTGATGATTCTCTCTCATCATTGATATTTTTATCTCCTTTCCTCTCTGAAATCATTTGGGGAGAAAAGGATGAACAAAAGGTTAAAAGGATGGGAAATAATGTTACTTTACTCCCAAAATACACAATCCATAGTTTTAATTTCTTAAAAACCAGGTTTGATCCATTCTGAAATGCCCTTGTGAGGTGTGTTCAAATTGAAAAGAAGGTAATGACACAAGCTTGCTGTCAGGTCACATCCTTTTCCTTAGCTCTCCCCTAATTCTCATTCTGCTGGGAATTCAGTCTAACAGTGATTTGAGTTTAAGCAATTTTTCAGGCACAGGACAAAGCCTCTCTGACATCAAGGTTGGATAGCCATTGCCAGGAACTTTACCAACTTGACTGTTCTCCTTTGCTGCTGTCTTCAGGGTAGAAGTTATTTCCCATTTTGAAGGCTCTGTTTAAAAAAAAAAAAAAAAATGGGGCACAGGCTCTTGAATAGACTGTGAGGAATGTCTATTGTGTGTGCTAGGGGGAGGGTGTGAGTTTTGTCTGAAATTTAGTCAGCAATTTTGAACTAACTTAGTGCTTTGGGACCTCTTTCCTTCCTGTTGTTGATGACACCAAGAGCCTCAGAATCAGTTAGATGCAAGGCTGGCCTCTGTGGGTATTTCTGATCAGCTTTTCTTCAGTATAACTTGTATCCCTTTGCACTGCCAAGATTGGGAAGGTTGGGTATTCTCTGACTTCTGACTGATACATTGCCAGTTAACTCAGGACAGTGATTATGGAAAGCCTCCTTTCATGTTGAACAGAGAAAGTAGATTTTCTCCTCACCAGAATCTGCCATATCCTGAATGAAGATGTGCAAAGCCCTACCTCCCAGCATATGGTTAACTCTGCCTGGGGATAAGCAGAACTGCCAAATGCTCATTGTCACCAGAAAGAAGCTTTCATCATAAAATTAATAACCATTTATTGACTATTCATTATGTGCCAGACATTGGACAATCATCTCTTTTTTTATTCTCACTTCAGCCTTTTGAGGTAGTGTTATCTCCATTTCGCAGATAAGAAAACAGGCCCCAAGACATTAAGTTATGTGTTTACATAGCTAATTAGTGGTCAATGGGACCAAAATTCAGGCCTCACTGACCTTAAGGCCTATGTCATACCCTTCCCCTCAAGAGACCTCACAGGAGGGGTTTGGGTTCACCCCATTCCCCAGTTTGTTCTTCCCCAAACTGAGGCCATTTTTGTCTTCCACTTAAATCCAGAAGCTGTTCCTTTGTGATGAAGAATGATTTATGCACATAGGATCGTTGAGATAGTTTGCAATGGGCTGTGAAGACAGTTACTCTGGAGTCCCAAGAGCTCGCCAGCTAGTTGTTTAGTCATTGGGATGATAATGTTTCCATCAACTGTATGCTACTTTTAAGAACTCAAAATTTGATTCCCATCTCATTTTAGGAAGACAAATTCAAGTTCCATTTCATAGAAGAGCTAAGGCTCTAAGAGGTTAAGAGATTATCTGAGATCCTATAGTAAGAGTAGGACTACTAGTTCCATTCTATCAGGCCTCTGTCACGTTTCTGTCTGGTGATGGTCTCAGGGGTGGGGAGGGGTATGGACTCCCTAGAGAGCATGTGGCTTACAGATGATTTACTGACTTTGGAGCTACTTTGAGCTGAGGTGGTGAGCACGGCTCTAAGGAAACCTGCTGATGATAGAAGGTAGGCTTGTACTTGGAAGATGGATTAGAGAGGGATCTCTGCCAGAATGAGGCCAGGAAGCCAGAGACCAAGGCTGAAAATTATGGTAAAATCTGTTTGTTAGGCACAAGGAGGTTGCCCTCTGACTAAATGCTGCCCTTGCCACGTCTAAGGCCATTGTTGAGTGTGAGGTCCAAATAGGATGTTCCTAAAGTCTGGAGCTAACAGAGGGCAAAGTCCCAGATTAGGAAAGTACCCAGTGCTCCAAAGTCCCGAATGAGCTAGAGCCCTGACTTGAGCTTAGAATGTCTTTTAGGAACTTAAGAGAAATGATGAGGGGAAGAGATGGCAAAGGTTGGGTGAACTGAAGGGCAACTTTTCCTTGGGTAAAAGAGGGCAAAGAGAAGTAAAGTCTGGCCGGAGGAGAGCTGGAATCAGGCACTAAGTCCAGCAAGACTTAGTGGTTTTCTTCCAAGGGGCTGGCAGTGCATGGGCCTTCTTTGCTTTTGCCTCCCTGCAAGAAACTGATGAAGCTGTTCTGGAAAAGCCAGCTTTCCTGGGAAAGGAGAAACCCCTGTTCTGAGTGAGATCTTAGGGGTTCCATTCTGCCCTGGCAGAAAGAGAAAGTCCAGGTGATCAAGGCAGCCTTGTCTGAGGTGTGAGGCTCTTGGGATGGAGCATCCTCACCTTCTCAGACATTGGCTTTAGCATGGCATTTGTCTTTTGGCAACTGACACTTTCAGGACAGGCTGAGGCCATGCTGCCAAGACTGCCATTGTTCAGGGTTTGGGCAGCATGTATTCTTCTATTCTGCCTGGTTTCTGGGGGTTGGTTCCATCTTTTTTTTTTTTTTTTTTTTGGTTCCATCTTGGAGGCAAGACCTTGGCTATAGATATTCCAGCCATGAACACAGCCCAGGTGTATTAAAGTACCAGGTTACTTTGTGGGTTGTTGCCATTGCTGGGTACTGGTCCTCCTCCTATCAGAGCTTTCAAATGGAATTTGAAGCAAGAGAGCCAGCCCATACTAGGGTCTTGGGATACATCGGCAAAGTCACCTGAGGAGTTCTGGAGTAGTGATCCTACCTAGAACCTGGGCCAGACTTTTGTCCTAGCTGTCCCTTCCCCCCAAACTCGGGGACACAGCCTTCCCCGTGTTCTCCACCCATACTCTCCCCTCAGGAATTCTTGGCAGGCAGAAGTGTTTGCTACCAAATGAAGTCTTCCCTGGAACAAGACTGAATTGCTGAGAACAGCTCGAGGCACTTTTGCGCCCTTCAGGAGTTTATCCTTGATCCCTCTGACCAGTCCTGACTCTAGCTTATCCCCTTCTCCCTTATCTGCTGTTAGAGCTAAGCCTCCCTCATTACTCATTCTCCTAAGCTTCCTACTGAGCTGGGAGCTCTCCATGACATCATAGACCTTCCTCCCAGGTCTGATCAAGTTGCAAAATAGCTACCACCCAGATTGCCAGAGTGAACAGTCACTTCCTCTCTTGGTCTCTCCTTTCTGCCCAGCTTATTTCTTCTAATTTGATGTAGTGCCTCTCTTCCTAATTGTCATTGCCTTTAATTCATGGTCTTATAAACTGAAGTCACATCAGGACCAGCTATGATAGTCCCTTTTTAAAAAATATATATATTTTATTGATTTTTCACAGAGAGGATGAGAAAGGGATAGAGAATTAGAAATATCGATGAGAGAGAGTCATCGATCAGCTGCCCCCTGCACACACACACACACACACACACTGGGGATGTGCCCGCAACCAAGGTACATGCCCTTGACCGGAATCCAACCCGGGACCCTTGAGTCCGCAGGCCAAAGCTCTATCCACTGAGCCAAACCAGTTTTGGCGATAGTCCCTTCCTTTTGGAACAACAGAGATCCAAGGTTTCTGGAGTCAGTTGAGTCTGAATCCCTATCTTAGGAAGTCAGAGAGAGGAATGGCGGGGGAGAGACCCACTCATCAGAACAAAAGATGAGGTTATCTCTAGCTTAGTCTAGAAAGTATTCTCTACACCCCAAAGTTGAGATACCCAAAAGTTCGATCCAGGCAATAGACAGGAAGACTGAGTTGGCATTGAGAGATGAAAACAAGTGGCAGATGGTGCTGAGGAACATCCCAGAACTGAAGAAATATGGTTCCCAAAAGGGAAAAAGGAAGGATACATTGGCAAAGTCTACGGAGCTGCTGAGGCAACCTGGCCAGAGAAAGCTGCAGGACGTGGCTGAGAACACACTTCTGCTATGGGGACATTGGGGAGCTTAGAAGCTCACTATTCTGTCCCCTCTTTCATGCTCTTTTACCACAACCACAGTAAACAGCCCTGGTGGCCAGGCTGGACTAGTCAGGAAAAGTGGGGAACGGAAGAGATTAGATCGTGATCCCGAAATCCTGAGGAATTGCTTCCACGTTTAGGGATTTTGGGGGGGGGGGGGGGGGTGTTAAGTAGTGAGCAGTGCAGTAGGGCAGCAGGAGGGGCATGCATGGGGCCACATAACATAGAGTTTGCCTGTACTTAGCCCTGCCTGGCTCTTGACCTCCCCAGGTGCTGGAGGTAGTACGAGCCAACTATGACACACTCACACTGAAGCTGCAGGATGGCCTGGACCAGTATGAGCGCTATTCGGAGCAGCACAAGGAAGCTGCCTTCTTCAAAGAGCTGGTAAGTCTGCCCCGCTCCATCTCTATCTGTGTCCTCTGGGGACCCTATCCCAAATCACTGGGTTCTACTCTGCAGCTGAGCATCTAGAGAACAACCGCAGTATTCCAACGGCTGATGGAATATGACTTAAGGGATGTGCAAACTTCTCTCCCAAAGCAGCACAGGACCAGGCAGTGAGAGAAGATACTCCCCAGGGTGCTGGTGCCGGGTTGGGAAGGGTGAGAAGCCCGAGACAGCATTGCCCACCTCTCTTCTGCAGCCATAGAGACAGCCCTTGCACAGCTCCAGCTGGGCCTGGGGTTTGACATGTGCTCCCAGTGGCATCTCTGGCTCATTACTCCTTATCCTGTCTAGAGAGCAATTAATGAGAATAATTGATTCTCCTCCTCCTTATGCAGTCACTTCCTAAATTCCTAACTGGTCTGAGTGTCTCCCCCGCCCCCACCCCAAACCTAGTTCTCCAGTCTTCACTCTCTGTCCCCACTCCCACTTTCCAATCACTCAGCTTCCTACAGCCTCCATCCATGGCCACCTGGAACAGTGAGCATTTGCTCTGCCTCCTACTCCACCTCCCAGTCAGCATCTCTTCACAGAACTGGCCTCTCCCTGTTGATGGTCCCTCTCCTGCACAATGCTCAGAGCTACTCTCAGGAAAAGCTCAGCTTCCCTGGAGTCCTGCCACTCCGCCTGCCTGGTTGCACATGAACTCCCGGATGGAGGCTGAGACCAGGACACACAGGCCTCAGTACCTACTTCCCATGTCCTCAGACCTCCCACTGCTGGGCAGAAATTGCATCAGCCCAGCTTTTACTACTCTCTGCTGATTCTGAGATGAAGATACTGGATTTTAGCTCATCTATCTTGAACTAAACACAGCCCAACTTGACATTTCCAGGATTTCGGATTCCCCAGGGTGAGGAAGACATATACTCTGGGTTGAGTTAGCTGGTAAAAGGGAAGCCTTTAGTGTAAGGAAATAAGAGTATTTGTATGGGGTAGTTGGCAAGTCTTTAAGGTGATGTGGGGTCCAAGACGTAAGAAAAAGACTAAGTAAGTTATTGGGGGATGAAGATGATTGTGGAGGAGAGCATTAGAGGAGCTCTATCTCAAGGTTCTTTGACACTAGCTGCTACCTTCTCAACTCTCCTTATACCTGTGCCTCTGGCATAGGGGAGCAGCGACAGTCTGGTAGGGTTTGGAGCTAATGAGCTTTAGCTGCTTGCTGTTTGCCATACCGCCTTTTCCTCTGCTCCCAGCCTGGCAACTGCATTATCTTTCCCATAGCAAAGCAGAAATTTAACTCCCTGGACTTTGGGGCCCAGCAGTGTGTAACTTCCTCCCTCCTCCCCCTTTCTCTCATACAACAGTCACATCTATTTCCTATGAATGGATCTCCTTCCCGAGTCTACTAGATTCCTCTTAGCATGCGCTCAGAGTAGAGAGTCCTCTGACCCCTTTTCCATAGATCTTTTCCCCTCTGACACAGGGACCACTTCCTGCAAGGTTCTGGGTCTGTGGGTAGAAAACATGTGAGGTGAGCAGGAGAGACACAGCAAGGGTACACTTCAGACTTTCCTTTAAAGTAGGAGCGCATATTTGTTGTATTGGAACAGTACTGGACTAGGAATTAAGAAACCTGGGTTTTGCCCCAGGCCTAGGACTCACTAGCCATATGGCCTGATCCTGTCTCACTATCCTCCTTGGATTATACCTCATCTATGCCAGACAAGGCCTGCATCTGTAAACGTTCTTTCCAAAAAGGAGATAAATACAAAGGGAGAGTGAGAAGTTAGGTATTCAGATCCTCTTCTCCACCCTATCACCGAGCTGTTTGCTCATTTGCCTGCAGGGATGATAGCTACGAAGGGTTTATTTCCTGAGAGAAACTTCTAGCACTGAGCCTTGGCCTTGTGTCTCAAACACTGCCCTCTACTGTCTGTAACAACTCTCTCCTCTTTTCTCTCTGCCTGTGTCCTCCTTCCTACCTCCCCCACTTTCCCAGGTTCGATCCATTAGCACCAACGTCCGGAGAAACCTGGCCTTCCACACACTCAGCCAGGAAGTCCTGCTCAAGGAGTTCTCCACTATCTCCTGAGACCACGCCAACCAGCAGCCACTGACTGCCCTTACCCATGAGGCTTCTGGGCTGGAGGGGGAGTCAGAGGAGAGGGGGCTGTCCCCAAGGTTGGAGAACAACACGGACACCCAATTCTCTGGTTGAAGGCCATGCTTCAGGGGAGCTTGGACAGCAGGGGCCAGAAGGGGCAAGCCAGGGATAATCTTATTTGGGGCGGGGTGGGTGGGCACAGAGAGAAGGCTCCCTGACATCCCTTCACATTTCCAATTGCGATTACAAGTTGAGGCTACTGACTAATTTTCAGGCGCTGTTGGGGCATGCCTTAGGGTGATGCCAGTACCGTGAGGATCAAGGGCTTTCCAAGGCTTCTGAAAACAGACAGCTCTCAGATATAGTGGAACCAATTCTGCTTCCTTTGGCCTGGGGCTCAGCTGGACTTGAAATCTGTCTCCCCAGTCCCGCTGTCACTCTGTCCAGTCACTAGGACTCTTAGCTCAGGCTTAGGGTAAGGTTTTCTAAATCCAAAGCTGACTTCTCTGGGAGACGGAAGTATTCACTTTCTGGATTTGAGTCTTGGTACCAGGAGTACCTGTTACCTTTCCCCTGTCTCCCACCCATTGACTCATCAGCACTTTAGGGTCACAACTTTAGCTTTTCATTTTCAAATCCGGTTTAAACTGCCTTTAGGATGTTTGTGTGAAATAAACATTGACAGGTTTTCTGGAGCCCTCAGGTGCCTACTCCACTGGTTCCTTTTCCAGGGGCCTCCCCACCTCCCCAGCCACCCCTCCTCCGGGAGCCTTGCCTGCCTCCCTAGCTCCCTCCACGTGTCCCACCCCCTCAGCCGGCTGTTGTTTACATCCAGCCTGCCTGAGAATTTCCTCTGGGAGGGATCTGTTTCTAATGCGGTTTGGTGCCTAGGACAGAGAGAATCTGCTGAGGGCACCGTACCCTCCGTCCGAAAGAGGCCAGTGAGCATCATGGAGAGGCCATTCTGTCTGCCCGCATTGTGGGTGGAGCCACAGGCAAGACGCTTGACATTTGAGAATTTGGCCTGTGATTCCTCCTCTGAACGGCCTCCATAGGACTACCTACCCAACAGCTGCCTCCTGAGTAGCTGCTGCTCTGAGACCCTCCCTTTCTAAAACACTTCCTAAAGCCTCAGGACGGCAGGGAGCAAGCAGCACAGCAAGAGTCTAGGAGTAAGTACAGGGACTTCTCTGGCTACCGTTCCACTTAAACTTCAATACTCGCCCTCCCACCCCCGCCTTGGCAGCAGCGTTCTGCCTCCAGCATTGAGCAGATATGCACTAGCACCAGAGAATCCACCACCATGCTGCCAGGGACAAGGGTAGATTAAGAGATCAGCAGCAGGCTCACCTCTGCTCACTAGATGGATAGCTCAACCTGGGGCATTTAGTGGAACTGGAGCTGGAAGCTGATGGCAAGCTGAAATGATTAAACATTGATTTGTATGGGACAGTTGTGTTAGTGTCTTTCTTCTTCCTTGATCCCTTACCCAGAACTCATTTCTCAAATATAAAGTTAAGATAATCTTCCAGGTACTGGTCCCATTTGGCTATGGGGTCCGTGTCTATCCTTATAGACTCTCCTCTGGAGTCTCCTGGCCACAGAAGAAGCAAATTCAGTTCAAAGAAGTCCTTGGGGTGGAAAGAGGTGAAGAAAGTCCCCTTATCTCCACACTCAGTATTGAGGAGGACAGCCAGCCCATGAGGGACTCCTGCTAGTTCTTCCTGTGAAGTGAATAAGTGCAAGTCAAGGGCATGAAGTAATAAAGGATTCCGTTGTAAAGGCCCTTCCATCTCTGGCCTATACACCTTATTCTGAGAACTCTAAACAGGAATCCCATCCCCTCCCAGAACTGAACTCCAAAGCAAGCTGCCCATGCTCTCTCCTCCAGAGCCAGGAGCAGGCCACTGCTCCCAAAGGCAGCCTTGCCTTTGGTTGCTTGTCCCCTTTTCATGCCTGGTCTCCCCCCATAATCCCTGCTGGGTTAATTGAATCAAATTCTTAGAAATTAAGTCCAATTGAAGAAATTAAACGTGTTGGGGTCATTTTAGCAGAAGCTTTTGGTCTAAACAGGTCACTCCTCCACAGGAGCCATTGGGCGGGCAGGATGACCTGGGACCCTGCCACCAGGCCATCCAGACCCAGCAGACACCCCCTCCCCTCCATCCTCACGGGGGTGGGATGGGGAGGGTTCTTGAGAAGAGAGCGGGGCTCACATCAAGAGCATTTATTCCCCACTGTGGATCTTCACCCGGATCCTCAAACTCTCAGTTGCCACTCTCCCCGTACCTTCCCCACTCCCCCCCCCAAAAAAAAAAAAATCTTATGGATAAACGAGGAATCTAGGACAGAGCAGGTGATAGAAGAGAGACGGCCAGGAAAGTTGAAGAAACAGAAGAGCAAGAAAGTCTTGAGAATTCTGCTGACCTGTTCGGCTTTCTTTTCCTTTTCTCCCCAGTTGGCCAACAGGGGTCATTAGATCAGGAAGAAGCACCCTGAGAGTGAAGGTGCCCAAAGTCCTGGAGTGGGCAAGGGTCGGTACTTCGGAGAGAGGAAGGAATGGTAGTCCTCTGGCCTGAGGGAAGTCTGCCTTCTCGGGTGACCCCTCTGAATCCCAGCCCCCTTCAAGCGGTGGGCCCTGGCGGGGGCAGGGGGAGGAGGAGGGCACAGACCTGTACATAGGAAGAGAGCAACAGAGAAAAATAGGGGCCACGCAGAGACTGACTAACGGGACCGGACGGACCCGGACGGAGACTTAGCCGCCCAGCGCTGGTTAGTGGGGGAGCATTGGGGGCGGAGTCCCTCACCGTGGGGCTTTCTGGCCCTGCCCTCTCTTCCACCCCCAAGACCCAGGCTTGGGGTTTAGGGGGTAGTGTTGCTGGAGAGCCAATCCCTCCCCCGGCACTTCCCAGCTCCCCCTTTCCCCGTGCCTCCTGGAGCTGCAGAGAGGAGGGGGCGGGGTAGGGGAGCCAATCCCGGCAGCGCCAAAGGGGGAGGCAGTGGTGACAGCCGCGGGGAGGGGGCGGGAGGAGAGAGGCGGCTGGCTCCGGCTCCTCCGCGCTCCGCTCCGCTCCGCCTCGGGCTCTGCGCTCACCTCCTGCCCAAGCCTCCCTCCCGCTCCTGCCCCGGACCCCTGGGTGGGCTCCAGACCCTCCCGGTCCCCAGTCTCACCTAGCCCAGACTCCCCTGGCCCCCAGCCCCGGCCGAGGGCTTCGCCGCCAGGGGGCGCCGTGCGAGCGCCCTCTCCCAGGCGCCCGGCGCCCCCTCCCACAGCCCAGGAGGGACGGGAGGGGGTCGCCGGGGGGCCATGCGGGGCCAGGATCGCAAGGAGAGTTTGTCCGATTCCCGAGACCTGGACGGATCTTACGACCAGCTCACTGGTGAGTCGGTGGATCGGGGCTCGTGGGAGGGAGGGTAGATTCCATTCCTCCAAACCCTGAAGCCTCTGACCCTGCCAAACCCTTACCCACACTCTGCCCCATTTCCAAGCACCTCCCCTGGACACAGGTTCAAAGTCTTGGGTCCCCCGGGGGCGGAGGGAGGGAGCGGGAATGGCAGGGGGTGGGGAGAGTAGGTGGGCAGGTGGGGAGAGGCAGCAGGTGTGGGCCCTATCACACAAGGCAGGAGGGCTCTGGTGGGAGGTGCGTGAGTGCCTGTCCTTCTTTGTGTGTGTCTGTGTATAACAGTATGTATACATGTGTGCGCCTCCCACAGCTGGTTGCCATGTGCCCTGGGCTTGGTGACAGCCAGGGTGAGCATGATTGTATGTGGTTGTGGGATTGTGTGATCTCGTCTGATGTTTGAGTGCGGTTACGTAGCACCCTGAGTGCAGTGCATGAACGAAGTTGTTTGACCCTGTGTTTCTGTTCTATGTGCAACTCCGTGCTCTGAGTGTGTGGTTCTGTATGAAGTGGCATGTGACTAACATTGGTGTCAGGGCTTCACTCTGTGGTGGTCTGTCTCTTTGTACGACGTTGTGAACTTCCTGGGGCACAAGCATCTGTTAACGTGGGTTGTGCTGTGCTTTGTGATTGTGAGACCATGTGGGTTACATTGGCACTTGATGCTGATTGTGCACTTTCATGCGGTGGTGTCTTCAGTGGGGCTTTGTGAGTGTCTACGACGCCTCTTTCCCCCGCTGCCTCTTTAGCTTCCTGGCGCAGAAGGAGGTCCTTAGCACACACACAGTTTCCCCCATGGTTCCCCCAAGTAGCCAGGGGGGATTCTAGTGTCTTAGCTGCCCAGCCTGGCTCCTGGGAGCAGCATCTGGCCCCCGGCCTCGGGCTTTGGTTAGTGCTGGGTCAGGTGTCCCCCCCTATCCCCACCCCCCGAAAACACACACTCCATAAAGTACTCAGAGATTATTCTTATAACCGAAGCTCATTCAATACCCAGCAACCCTCCCAGAACTTCACCCAAACCCAAAGGAAAACGCACTCTCTTGCCTCCCTCTAGACCCAGAGATAGAAAGACGCTCTCGCTTGGGAGGTGCCGTGTGGCCTCCCCTTTATAAATGTCCCCCCAAGTCACTTTGCTGCCCAGATATCCTCTCTCCCCCGCATTGGGGAGGTACGTGAGACCCGTGCACCTGTGCCCGGGCACATTCCTGGGTTTGGTACGCAGATCCATGTGTTTGTGTGGGTGACACCTTTTCCATGTACGTGTACATTTCCATGTACGTGTGTGTTGCTGTCTCTCAGTGTGCAGCCTGCTCAGAAACTCTTCACAGAAGATGGGAGGAGGGAGAGCATCTCCTGTGCGTGAAGCCAGCTGGGGAGGTGGAAGGAGGCTGTGATCCTTGTCTGTCCTGAAGGAAATGAGGTTAAGGCTTGGGGATAGGGCAGAGGACTAGAAGGAATGCCTTTAGAAAGTGTCTCTCTCTCTGACTCACTGAGCCTGCGGAGGGCCTAGTTCCTATGCGCAGCCCCCCGGAAGGGAAGCCCTTCCATCCAGGCAGGCCCCTGGTGTGCCCTAGCTGTGCCTCAGTC